GTTGAATAAAGGGGAACTAAGCATTCAATCTATTTTCTTTGATAAAGATACACTTAATGAAGTAACATATTTGTAAATTACCACAGATGATTTATGGTTTTCTTCTACTTCTTTTTAAAAAAGATTTTTTTCTCTAATGTCAAAGTAATTTCTATGATTATAATGGGGAAACAGTCGACGAATAATTGTAAATCAAGAAGTCAGTTAATCAGTACGCTACAACTTACAACCAGGCACATATATGCATCGGTTCAAGTTGCCAGACCTAAAGTCAAGAAGTGGTGACTAGTTGTTTTATCATTCTCTTGTTGAATATACTTTTACAGTATATATCTACAACTTTATACAATGTAGAATAATGATGAGCTAGATTTTACTCTAACTATGATACTTTCCAGTTATTAAGTAAAAACGATCTAGTGCTGATCCATTTTACTTCATGAAGTTCATTAACGAAATATAAGTAACTGACTAAAGAGGAAATTAGGAAAAGACATTGGAAGTGGAAATCATCAAACTGTATCACGAGGCAAGCCCTAACTTGGGATCCTGAAGGGAAACGAAAAAGAGTCAGTCAGTAACAACGTAGAACTTTGTACGTATATACATCACTTCAATTTACCGTAGAAAATTAGCACACAGATACAATTGTCGATACGAATCCCATAGTAGTAAGAGTATAAGCAGTAATTGGAAAGATTGGGGTTCGAAGATGTTATTCAAGGAGTATAATACAGTGAAATAAATTTGGAAAGAGAAAAAAAAAGAAACGAACATGAAGAACTGAGAAGATTAGAATTTGGGAGAACACAAAGTGTGGATGCACATGAGCCATTACAAACGATTTTGAGCCATTTCATTCAAGGTCTCCAACTATCGGTTGCTATCATTTCACGGACCTCAACCACGTACCAACATGACTCACACAGTGCACTTGTCAGTGACTTGATGGATTTGTGCCATGTTTTGATCTGATCGTCCCTAGTTTTCTTCCAACCTACTCCTACACCATGAAACATTGCACGTCGTCGCAGTCGGTGATTGGCAATTCGTAACAAGTGTCCCAGCCATTTCAACTTATGAACTTTCACTACTTCATCACAATACGTTGGGAAATAGAAGCAGATATCAAAATAATGAATAGCAACTGGAAAGAATTGCCTAGAACAGGGTTGGATGAAGAATTCTGGTGGGTGACCTATGCTCCTTTACGAGGAGTAACAGGGGTAAGTAAGTAAGTAAGACAAATATTTCTCCAAATAAGATACATTTATTTTATACATCGAAATGGTAACTCAGTGGTTCAAAGGTCCTTGATCTAATTTCCCGTGTCGTCGTGTATACAAATTCCTGAGTTCAATAACATATTCAATAAACTTTCTAGTGCTAAATGGTTTCCGGTTGTTGCTTAATTGAAGTCAGTCTGTAATAAGAAAGTCCAAACCTATACACCTCAGTGAATAATACGTAAGTGAACGTATCAGATGACTTTATGAGATGTTGTAGATCATCTTTTAAAAATCAGCATATTGAGATGTACCTACGATTCGGTTTCAACATCCAACAAATCTTCATCTCTTTTTCATCTCTGCTTTCCTCCATCAAATGCCCTGCTACGGCTAAGAGTGGGATGAGTCAACTCTCCCTCTTGAAATGCACTCAAGTGGCCACGTGCATACAAATACTCACTGCATTCTCGCATCAGGGTTGTTGTTTACAAAACTGAGAGAAGGGAAAAAGAATTTCCGGCTCTTTAAACGGGTTGGTGGATACCGAGGATTCACCTAGGGGAATCGGAAAACTCTGATTTCAAACCAATGGTATACATGGGCTCCGTGATCATATGGAAACAAATGGTATATGAAACTATTGTTTGTCACCGGCTACCATAGGACTGCATCTCCTTACGTTGCCTCACTGCCTTGTCGATTAAACTTTTAGGTCGAAGTTTCGCTGTGTGGCCCCCTAAGAAAACCACCTGTTTCGGTTCGGACACCCGGGTAGTATCACAGGTCTCATATAAATCATTCAATTTACGTGGCACATATCTGTCTGACGCCTCCTTGTACCAATGTTTATGTATTTAAATAAATAAAATAAAATACTGTATTAAATAATATCTTTTTTTGGTTGGTTACAACACATAAGGTTTTAGAAATCTCTTAAAAGATTGAATTAACTTGCCGTGCTTTTACTTGTATCATCCCGTTGTTATTTAGGACTTCAATTGATCAGTTTCATGTCGGCATATGTGCATCATGTGCAGATTGACTCGATATAGACTTAATTCACAAGCTTTTTAAGCAAAGATGGATAGTGGCTAGCAGTGAAATCAAGTTGGACGCGCATTTCGTTCTATTTGAGACTCGTCAGCTGGATGTACCTGCATCCCAAAGTTCATAATGATATCAATGGAAAGATACAAGTAAAACAACACCAAGTGAGTTTAAACTTCATCCCATTGCAAAAGCAAGTGTTCATCATGACTCAGTAGCTAAGTGGTTAACGCGATGGCGTTTTAAGCAAACGCTACTGGTTTCGAGTCCCAGAGTGGACATTAACTATAAGATGCAGTTACATCTAGCTGACGAATCCCAAATAGGGTGAAACGCGCATCAAACTGCATTCCACCACTAGCCATTATCCATCTTTACTCTTTAAAGATTGTTTGAATTTTATAATGATCTGTATAATTCATATTTATAGCACTAATAAACATTATAAATACGATTGTTTTTGGTAATAATCTCTTGAAATGACTAAAATCTAGTAAATAGTTGAATGTAAGTTAGGATTGTACAAAGTTTTCGCATAAATAAGTGGGAACCTTTACCATTACATTCAATCTATATTAGATATTATCTTTACTATTGAATGTTATATTTGATTTATGCCTACAACTAAGATGAGATTTATATGAAATATCTGATTTTGGAAATGTTTGCATTACATATTACATTTACCATTATAATTATTCATGTTTACTGTAATCTGATTATGTAATAGGTTAATTCTATTTTCTATACACATGAATAGTTTTATAAATAAGAGAAGGGTTTTCTGGATGTTATAGTTAATTTAATAGTTGAATTCATGAATCAATTGAAGTTAGATTACCATAGAAAACTTGGAAGTACAAAACGGCCGTTTCGTCCAAATATAGAATTCCTCAACAGTGTGTATTCACGATCCTGTCTTACGAGATTCGAATATGGGATCTATCGGTCTCGTGCTGGAACACACTGTTGCGAAGTATGATACTAGGATGAAACAGTCGTCCAATGCTTTCCAGGTTTTCCATGGTAGTCTATTATTTATTTATTTATATATTTATTTTAACACATAAATATTGGTACAAGGGGGAACCAGATATATATGCGCCATACAAATCACATTCGACATGTGTGAGGGCTGTGATACTGCCTGGGTGCTCAGACCGAAACAGGTGGTTTTCTTTGGGGGCCACACCCGGAGCCTTTGACCTAAAGGTCTGATCCACAAGGCAGTGGAGCATCGTGAGGAGGTGCAGTCCCATGGTTCTCGGTGACCAACGATTGGTTCATACGCCATTTCTTCCTTCAGGGTAATGGAGCCCATGTGCACCACTGGTTTGAAATCAGGGTTTCCCAACTCCATCAGGTGGACTATCCGTGTCCACCATCCTGGGTAAAGCACAGGTAATTCGATCTTCGTCCTCTCAATTTCATAACCAACACCCCTGCCACGAGAAGGCAGTGAGTAGGACTTCCCTGACAGAGGCTATATACGCGTGGCCATGTGAGAGCATGGTAGTCTAGCTTCAATTGATTCATGAATTCAACTATTAAATTACCCTTATAATAATTAAACTTTTATAAGAAAACAATTCAGTTTATTTATTTACTTGTTTATCTATTACAAAGAAAATAAATAAACAACCCATTTGTTTATCAAGAGATTCGTACAAAATTACTAATTAGTGATTCATGAAATTGTTCAGATCAGTAGAAAGAAGGCAAATTAGACGAAGAAAAAAGTTTAAAGAAAAGAAAGGAAAGAATTAGATTTTTTTCAAATGATTCCCCAATTATTTTGAATGTGGACAAGATTACTACAACATTTTAAAGATAAACATCCTTTTTTGAGGTGGGGGGGGTTCGATAAATAATAAAAATTATGGATTTTTTGGGGGGGGTACTTTTCCACTGGTAACTATACATGTAAGGTTATAGGTAGAGTGTAGACTTGATTATATTCGGAATTCTGGATTATTGGATTTAAATTCAGTATGGAGTTGTGGAGATTTTTGTTAAGTATTTGATTGAAGTCATGAATCAATCAAAGTTAGACCACCATACAAGGCCTGGAAGCAATGGACGGCCATTTCGCCCTAGTATGGAACTTCACAGAAGTGCGCATCCACAATTCCACTCCGCAGGATTCGAATCCAGGGCCTTCGGTCTCGTGCGAAAACAATTAGCCCCTAGACCACTGAACTTGTCAGCATCCGACGATGTTAATGTCTATTTTCAAATTGGGCGACATATCCACCATTCTCTTCAGTGAGTTACTATCTCACAACAGACCCAGTTGCACTCCATTGTTCACTGCTTCTCCAGGAAATACCTACTGAAGGCAGTCACTAGTGAGCATATATGTCGCCCAATTTCGCAGGTTAGTTGAAGTTAGACATTAACACCGTTGTATACCGGCCGGCTCACACACAAAACCGATAGGTCCTGGGTTCGAATCTCTCGAGGTGGGATCATGGGTGAGCACTGCTGATGAGTCCCACAATAGGACGAAACAGCCGTCCATTGCTTTCAGGTTTTCCATGGTGATCTAGCTTTAACTGATTCATGATCTCAACCATCAACATTGCTAAAATCTCCACAAAACGCTTTCTGATATTTGAGTTATGCCTGTGAATTCCGCATATTTTAATATTTAGTTAATAGAGAACAAGCCAGAAAATTACATTAAAATGTATAAGGTTGTATGTAATGACTCATAAAACTTACTTGTTGATCAACAAATGTTTGTATATTGATAGCAGACATTTCTACTTGATCAGGAATAATATCAACTTCTGTATCAGGTCGTTCTGTTGTCACAGTAATAGTTAAATCCTAGATAAATAGAGGGGAAGAATTGATAACTTAGAAAGAAGAACACACTAGATCTATGCACAGTAATAGTTAGAATGATATAGGGAAACAATGTAACCAATTGGAACTTCATATAGGGTTCACTAATAATTGTAAGTAGTTTATGGTAATATATGGATTCATATGTTTAATTTCAAGCCAAACTGTTTAAGCATAGAAGAAGGGTTATCAAACAACGTGATTGCCCATATCAAAATCAGTGGGAGTGGAGTTTGGATTAGAAATGAGCCTAATGAAAAAAAAACCCAGAACGCCAACAAACTAATTGATAACGTTAAAAATTTGAAGTTACTTTGCAGTTTCTCTCTCTTTCTCAAGAATGTCAGTAGACGTCAACTTCTGATACAATGATCGATACTTCAATAAAGCCTTTTACTTTATTGAACGTTTGATTCTATATTTAATTACAGTACCATACCCAATAACTGAACAATACAGTAGAGTCTTGAAAGCGTATTGGCCAACAACCGGCTACATTTTAGATAAATATGAAATAATACTAATCATCTTTGCATTAGTTCATTAGTTCTAAATGACGTCTTTATATTCTTTGCTTATTTACAAATTGATTAGAATGTATCATTAACATTTAAAGGTTTCATCTCACAAGTAAGATTTATTTCGTAGAATTTAGATTGAATAGCAAATGCAGTTAGTAACAAATATATTTTCTTCTAGTATCCTAATGAATAGAAAAATTGTATTTCCAACGTTTCGTAACTTAATGTAGGCCACTTCTTCAGAGTGAATAAATAAACTTGTGTTAATTTTATTTCAGTTATTTATTTATCCTGAAGAAGCGGCCTATGTCAAGTAACGAAATGTCAGATATAAAATATTTTTACTCATTAGAATGCCACAAAATAACTGATTATTCACTCTTAACACAATTCTTAATTTATTTAGAACTACCAAGTTCAACCATGGCACTGATGCTTACAAATGCAACTAACATATTTAAAGAATGTATTAGTGTTTTGTGAACAAGGAGGATCGGGTTCAGACATAAAGGTGAGGATTCGCAAAGCAAGTGCCGCATTCCTATGATTGAAGAACATTTAGAAATCAAAATAACTGTCAACCAATATCAAAGTCACAATCTTCAATACGAACGTTAAGACAATTCTACTGTACGAAGGTGAAACGTGGGGAAGTACTACGACCATCATAAATAAGCTACAAGTATTTATAAACAGTTATCTTCACAAGAAGCTCAATGTCCATTAGCTGTATAACACCAACATTAGCCTTCTTTACAGAGAACAAACCAGCTTTCAGCTGAAGAGGAAATTAGGAAAAGACGTTGGAACTGGATATCACCACACTGTATCACGAGGCAAGCCCTAACCCGGGATCCTGAAGGGAAACGGAAAAGAGGAAGGTCGAAGAACAAACTACTTCGGGACTTGGAAGCAGATGTGAAAAGGATGAATATCAACTGGAAAGAACTGGAGAAGATTGCCAAGGACAGAGTTAGATAGAGAATGTTGGTGGGCGGCCTATGCTCCTCCACGAGGAGTAACAGGCGTATGTAAGTAAGTGTTTTATAAATCATTGTATAAACAGAAAATCAACAGAATACGGGACTCGATGTTCGATTTATTTATGTTACAACAAAGTTTATACCTAGTTAAAGAATGCATATATATAAATTTGTAAAAACTAAATTTATTTCACTGATTAAAATCATGAGTCAATTGAATCTAGACCAGCATGGAAAACCTGGAAGCACTAGACGACCGTTTCGTCCTAGTATGAGACTCTTAAGCAGTGCGCATCCACGATCCCGCCGTTACCAGTGGAGTCGAATCAGGTCTGTTGTGAGATATCAACTCACTGAAGACAATGGTGTACGGTGGCGCAACTTTGTGGATGGGTTGAAGTTAGACATTAACACCGTTGGATACCGGCTCAGTGGTCTAGTTGGTTAAGCGTCTGGCGCGAGACTGATAGGTCCTCGGTTCGAATCTCTCGGGGTGCGGAATCGTGGATGCGCACTGCTGAGGAGTCCCGTACTAGGACGAAACGGACATCCAGCGCTTCCAGGTTCTCCATAGTGGTCTAACTTCAATTGACTCATGATTCCAATCAGTGAAATTTCTAAAATCTCCACAAAATCCCTTTCTGATACTAAACTTATTATCCAAAGTTTAACAAATACTGTAACAAAAAAGGATGTAATGTAGAAAGCATTCATCAAATAATAGATATATTTTACATAATATATGATATTGCCTAACTATTTCAATATAAAGAACATTGCTTGAACTGAAAATAGGATTTATATTCATTGTTGTAATGTATTTAGAATAAGTTAAATATCCATCTACCATTTGTTCTTTGAAATTATGCATACAATTTACACAGATTACAAACTCGATGTTACATTTCATATTGTACATACATACAAACACATGCATACACACATACATATTTACATACATATACACACACACACATTTATACTTTATTATGCTAACCGGTAATTTATATCCACTACTGTATTTACAGTATCCATGACTATTTAAAACATTAAACATAGTCAGTAAATAAACAGCAAAATGAAACTATACACAAAGTAGTAAATTATTTTCTTTTCTTTTTGTGTATGCTTGGTTTCTAGTGAGAAGTTTCCTTTTTACAGATATAACTGTAATTGAAGAAATGTTACAAATCAGTGAACATTTCATTGTTATTTAATATTAATGTATCATATATCCATTAATGAATAATTAGAAACTCCGTTATCAACCCCTCTGGGGCTACTGCCAATCCCCAAGCCCGGATAAAGAAGAAGGGTTCGGAATGGGGTTAGTGAACCTATCCCGTAGAAAATTAACTTGTTGAAAAAAATAATTCAAATCATTTAAACTCTGCCATAGGAGTTAGAAGGTCTTGATTTAGAAAAGTTTTGACGCCTCATGATGAAAGCCGAGTTCCTTCGGAAGTCACGAGGATGATTCCTCTTGTGACAACCAAAGCAACCATTAATTTAGGTACATGAAATGCTAGTACAAAATAGGAGACTGAGAGAGTCATTCATATTGCTGCAGAAATGAAAAGATACAACCTGGATGTGCTTGGAATCAGTGAAATACATTGGATGCAGGTTGTACAATAAAGACTAGCTTCAAGGGAGCGGCTGTTATACTCCGTATAACTGAAATAATACTAGTCACGAATCCATACTAGAATGATAAAAATCCATGTTAAAGCCTATCTCTAGTGAACACATAACCCTTATCTAGCTGAATGTTTATGAAAATTATTTTAGGCTGGAAATAACTCTTGTCATCGACTGATGGTAATTAAAGAAATATACTAGTATAAAGTAAATGATTAGTACTCCTTAATTTGCACAGTTGAATCCACTATGCGGTGATATTATCTTCAAGTAGTATTCTAATTCTGTAAAACACATTTGGAGAATGCTGGTCGGAGGCCTATGCTCCATTGGGAGTAACAGGCGTAAGTAAGCAATGATGAAGCGTTATTCCTGGTAAAGCTGAAACAACAATAAAGTCAAATTCTGACGATTTGTTCAAATATCAAAGTCTCTATTCTGTAACTTTGTAAAAATTACAAAATTTATTTCACTTTCGAATTTGCTTTGATGGACAATGTAACCCATTTAACCTCCTAATGTATTTCAGCTCTCATTTTAAAATCTTACAAGTGAACAATAATTCATTAAAGTGGTTCATAGATTTCCTTACTTGTATATGTTTTAGCCAAAGAAAAAATAAATACATTGTTATTCATGAATTAAATAATATTACTGCCATGACTAGACTTATTAAAGCTGTGAACCACGTGTGGAGAAATTCGAACATTTCACTTCTACCTGAAGCTTATGCTGATGATGTCGTTCAGATGAACGATGAAAGCTCCACGATCAAACGATCCAGCTCAGGGAACAAAACTTCATCAAGATTAAACAGAGTTTGTTCCCGAAGATTTATGACAGATAATCATATATTTTAAGTATTACGGTAATCAAATACTTGATGTTGATTAGAGCGATTATTGTTTCTATTGTCATTTGAATTAGTCAAGTTAATGACACGAATTATAAGGATATATGTATGCTTTCATTCAACGCATGATGTAAAGTCATCATTGCACAAATTAAAGTACTTTTCATACGCCCCCAAATGCCCTGGTACGGCCGAGAGTGAGGAGAGTCAGCTCGCTCTCTGGAAATGCTCTCACGAAAAGCGAATTTCCCGTGCTTTAACCGGGTTGGTGGACACGGATAGTCCACCTGATGGAGTTGGGAAACCATGATTCCAAACCAATGGTGCACATGGACTCCAGTGTTCTGAGGGAACAAATGGCGTATGAACCAGTCGTTGGTCACCGAGAACGATGTGACTGTATGCTCCACTGCCTTGTGGATGAGACCTTCAGGTTGAAGGCTCCGGATGTGGTCCCCTATGAAAACCACCTCCTTTGGTTTGGGCACCCGTGTAGTATCACAGCCCTCACACAAATCAAATGAGATTTGTGTGGCGCATATATATCTGGTTCCCCCTTGTACCAATATTTATGTGTTCAAATAAATAAATAAATAACATCAGAATGGGTTTTGTGGAGAATTTTAGAAATTTTCACAGGTTGAAATCATGAGTCAGTTGAAGCCAGACCACCATTGAAAACCTGGAAGCACTGGACGGCCGTTTCGTCCTAGTATGGGACTCCTCAGCAGTGCGCATCCACGAACCCGCACCACCCGGGGCTCGAACCCAGGACCTACTGGCTTCGCGCGCGAGCACTTAACCATTAGACCACTGAGCCGGCATCTAATGGTGTTAATGTCTAACTTCAACCAATCCACGAAGTTGCGTCACCGTACACCATTGTCTTCAGTGAGTTTCTATCTCACAACAGACCTGGTTGAATTCCACTAGTAACGGCTTCTCACTAGAACTTCGGGAGATTTTCCTGAAGTCAGTCACTAGTGAGCAGTTGATTATTATTATCAGAATGGGTTTTGTGGAGATTTTAGAAATTTCACAGATTGAAGCCAGTAGGTCCTGGGTTCGAGCCCCGTGTGGTGCGGGATCGTGGATGCGCACTGCTGAGGAGTCCCATACTAGGACGAAACGGCCGTCCAGTGCTTCCAGGTTTTCAATGGTGGTCTAGCTTCAATTGACTCATGATTTCAACCTGTGAAAATAAATAATAATTACTTTTTCATACAATGTAAACTAGTCTTATCGTTGTTTGCTTCTTAACTTTCATTCATCTTCTTCTTGATCATTAAACCTCGTCAGTAACACAGAGAAATTCATATATAGATCAATTTAGCCAATGTATCACTAATTCAAGTCAATGATACTTAAAGCCTTCTTAATCAATAATATTGGACAGGATAGTGTTTGGTATCATTTTGTTGTTTCCATTACTATTAAAATTTGCCATGACATCTTTAATTTATGAGGAACAGATCATATCAGATTATAATAATATCTTATAGTAATTTGATGAAAGAACATTAGAATTTTCGGTGAGACTACAATTTATGGAGGGCTTTTGGGCGATCCTAAAGTGACCTTGAGAGTGTTCAGTTGATGGTAAGGCTTAGGGAATTAGATTTATGGTTTTCATCCCAAAATGACATGAGCTATAATGCCAAAACTCTATTCATCCAAATCGATAAGTGAATTTCGCGCCAGAACTTGAGACCTGTTATCTTATATCTGATTGGTTTGTCCACATGTTATAGTCTTGCCAAATATTCAATCGTGCCTACTACATTGATTCAAATAGTCAATGCATACAGTTATAAATGATTTATACTTGAGACAACTGTTATTATTATTATTCATGACTTTGTTCAATATTGTATTTATTCCATTTGATTAGAATATTAGCATATCGGTCATGCCTATAGATAAATACTACTACAAAGATACTCACTAATCAATAGGCATAATACAGATTAATACAATCTAGTTTCTCTTTATCATGATTGTTCACATATGCGCATGTCATCGTATTAAAATTTCATACCATCATATAAATGAAAATTGTCATTGAGTTACTACGGCTATGTGACATTGTTCCACACTGACTGTCATTACTTACTCTGAGTTTATAAAAACTACTGGATTAGTTGAAGTTAGGTATTAACACCGTTGGGTACCGGCCGGCTCAGCGGTCTAGTGGTTAAGCGCCTAGTGCGAGACTGATAGGTCCTTGGTTCGAATCCCGCGAGGCGGGGTTGTGGATGAGCACCACTGAGGAGTACCACAATAGGACGAAACGGCCGTCCAGTGCTTCCAGGTTTTCCATGGTGATCTAGCTTCAATTGACTCATGATCTCAACTGTTTACATTATTCTTTGTTCGGATATTAAATTGTACCACATTACTTTATCTTACATTGATTACTGACGATTCAAAGGAGTAAATAATCCTCTCTAAGTAAATGTCATTTCCAAATCGAATTTTCAACGCAGTGATATTAAATGATAATATACCAATAAGTATTGAGATAGTGGAGAAGATTTGTAACTTAAGTGGATGATTTTGATGGGGTTTTGTTTTCTGAGCTGGATGAAAGCTCCACAATTAAACCATCCAGCTCAGAGAACAAAACTTTATCAAAACCAATAAGCATTGAAATATCTAACAAGGGGTAAATATAAATAATCTCTTTTAATTTCAATGATTGAAGTTATTTAAAGTTAATGAATAAAAACACCATCTAAGACATTCAATACTTTTAATCTTGTATAGTGAGTAATTCAAATGAAGGTTTATCTAATGTTCACATGTATGAAGAATAAAAAAGACCTTAGTTTACAACCGTGTTTGGATCTTATTATGGAACATATTTTCCTGCTAGTTGCTTGAAGGTTTATTTCTTAGAGCTGACCAGATTAAATGATCCAGATTGTAATGTAGTTGCTAGTCAAACTGAATTGATGTTATATACACCATGTTTTCACGTTCGGTGTCCGATATAACCATAGCGTTAGCCACTAGTAAGTGATCAATCATTACAAACATCTCTGTTCTACAGGAGGTCATTCACAACCTGAGTAGATCAGTAGTAAAATCTAAGACCAAAACACTGGGTGATTACGGTTCGAATCACATAGGGAGCATCAAGTCCCTTAAGATCACATATACAAATTAGTGAAAACTGTTAGCTTGCACAAAACAAAAGTGTAAGTTTCTTTGCACATTACCTCCTACCTCCATCTTACATCTCAACATATTGCATGAAGTAAAAAGTTAGTTAGACTAATACCTAAAATTTTATTTAATCCATTGAATACGATCAACACCATGGATTGGACCAACTCTCAGTAAACAATTAATTTACATTCTTTTCGACACAAGATTTCGACAAGATAAACAAACCAAAAGTAGCGCATGGAAGTTTTCGTTAAAGTGAAACACAAGTTGTAAAATCATTAAAGTTTATATTACATATACAAGTTACAAATTCCAGGATGTTATTTCTCGATAAGCATAATGAATGGTAACTTTCGGGATCCATTTATAGACCACTACTATAAGTATATTTTTCTCGTATAACTGTTAAATAACTAAACTATACATATTCATGTCCCTCTTATTATGAGCTTTATTTTGACCTATGAACTATTATTATGCGATTTAGCATTCTGGAATTATGCCTTGTCTATTAATTACTACCTCGCTCATTCACAGCCACATTTGGCTAATTCTTGTACAAATGTTGTTTCATATTTTATGGTATGATGTGGTCTGTCTGGTTGGTATATAAACCCAGTATGCTTGAAATATAATAATTCATATCACAGAGGCTGAGATTGGTGTTCTGGACTTAACTGGCTGGGCTAGACAGGAAGCAGGACCGATAAGTACTTTAGACTGCTCTCATGGGTTTATGTGTCACTGTTCCGATCGATAAGTTACTGCTCTCTAATTGGCAGTAACGTTATGTTATACATGAATAGGGCAAACAGGTTACAATTTATAACACAGGACAAACCTACTACTTTTAGAATGTTAAATTAGAACTCAAAAGTGTATAGAACATTAAGTTTATCATGTAAATACATCTTGAAATGCATTAGATATAACATAAATTTAATAATAACTAACCTGTACATCTAATGGGAAATCATTTAATTCTAAAGTTTCTAAAAATACACCTTTAATACGTCTACGTTCCATTAAATAAACTTCACCATATTCATTTCGTACAGCCATTATCCATTGAGTATCTTTTGTTTCACTTAATATATTATCAATATACAATAAAGGATTCCAATATTGTTCCAATTCAGTAATACTTAATTCCTAAAATAGTAAACAAAAAAGAACACATAATGGATAGACTAAAATATTGCGAAACGTTGCCATTATGATTAGAAGAAAAGACTAGGAAAAAGTTAAATATTTAGTTTCTTTCTCCGTTTATCAAAATGTACTTTAAAATAAAGTTCATTTCTGAATATAGTTCAGTCAAGATTTGTAGTGTTAGTTACTATGTTAAGCCCATATAACTTATTCTAGGTTCTAAATAGGCCAATTTATCCGTTCTTCTTGAGTCACGTTTTAACCTTGTTAATTATTCACTTATTAACCAAGACTGTTCTTATATTAGCGTACGTGTATGTACACTTCTTATCTTATTCATCACTTGTACGTAGCTTATTTTTGTGTGACTAAGTGGAGTTGGCTCACACGCTTCTCTACTGCTCGTCGTTTTGCTTCGCTCCCTCTGCTTCCCTTCCTTCACTACGTCCCTCCGATTGTCTGTCCAGATCAGTGATTTTACGAAATACACGTATTCGAAGATCCATTCTCGTATTCGACTTATTTAATTCCACCGCTCACTAACACGACCTAAGTTGATAAGTATATACGAGGATTGACGATATATATCTCGACATCAATCAAACGAGTCAAATATAAGGCCAATAAATACTAATTAATGTTAGTCCCTCTACTAACAGTATAGCTATGTGATATGAGTTTAAGTCCCACAGACATATATAGAGATATCTGACACATATGTTACACAAAGAGTAAAAAAACTGAGCCTCCTTTATGAGGTGATTTCTTAAGATCAACATATTTTAAAGATCAGTGATATAATTTACTATGAAATGCCTAACCAGTTTTTCTGAGGCCTTTAAAATAGTTTTATATTTGGTATCATTCGATGGTAAAGATTACTTCTAGTTTATTTTAATATAAATATTGTTTAATCGGCTCTAGTAAATTACCATGACTTGATATCGAGGAATTATTTTAGTTAAGCTGCGAGTGATAGTCAAAAAAAAGAAACTGAACAGACATCTTTTTCTACCATGGAACTCCACAGCAGTGCCTATACACGACCTTCAATACTTCACATCAGCATTTCATTATTCAAATTGATTTGGAATCCATAGGTCTACATTTTCGATTATTGATTCCATCAATTGATTCCAGCAATCTGACTGTTGACATAGTTGAGACTTCAAACATTCTTCTCGAATTAATTTGTTAGTGAACCGTTAATTACCATTATGGTAAATGTACGGAGGTTACTCGACTTAAATATAGTTTAAATCAGAAACTGATTTCAACTAGAAAATAATTACTGTTGTGCTAGTGATATAAATAATACATTGAGATGCGCAATATACGGACGATGTGTCTGTGAATATAGTAACTATTATTATTATTATTATTATTATTGTGTTATTATTATTTCAATAGTTAAGATCATAAGTCAATTGAAGCTAGATCACCATGGAAAACCTGGAAGCACTGGATGGCCGTTTCGTCCCACTGTGAGACTCCTCAGCAGTGCGTATCCACGACCCCGCCTCGCGGGACTCCAACTCAGGACCTACCAGTCTCGCGCGCAAGCAATTAACCACTAGACCACTGAACCGGCCGGCATCCAACGGTGTTAATGCCTAACTTCAACCAGTCCACGAAATTGAGCGACATTATTATTATTGGCTTCATTCAATATTAAGTTTTGGTACAATAGAGAATTCATAGCACAAGATATTTCAACAAGTTTATTTTACAAAAACTGGAAACAAAAAAGAGAGAGTGTAAGTCACGAAACGCCAGAAAATCTAATTTTTCTACTCATTGGGATATTACAAATATACTATTTATTTATATTTATCGAATAGGTTAGCTGTAACAACCTGTTGGTCACAGAGTTTATTTGCTGAGTAGGGTATTATAGAAGTTTTGTACATTAGCTTGCGTGCATGAATTTTAATATATTGACGTCTCGTTCTACCAGCAGATATACAAGGAGAAAGATGTGAATGAAGGGGATGGTTAGTATTTGATAAGATAACACTTGCCAGGAGTTTGCAAAATTTTAGATGTCTATCTACAACCATATTAATAATCACCTTAAAACATTCACCACACACCTTACTAACTACCTTCAGAACTCTTCGCAATACAGCAAAGTTATTTCTCAAAAGCCCAGGAAAGAACAATGGAGAACAGTAAAGAATAATAATTATTATACAGGAACTGACAAATTGTAAGAGTAAGTGTCGAGTAATCCCAAAAGCATGCAGTCTCTTTATGAAGTAACTGTAGTAACAATAAAACATGAGGAGACCAAGAGAGAACAGAGGAAAAGATAACACTAAGATAATTGACATTCGACACTGTGTTTATCAAATAGTCAAAAATGGTACAATCATTATGGGACCCTAACACGGTGTTTAAATGCTGTTCATGTTTCAGGCTAAAGTTAACAGCTCGACATTTAGATGGATTAAATATGAGTCCATTAACAACAGATCATCATTCAATACAAGAAAAAAACTCATTCATTTCTTTGGGATGTAAAGGGGTAGAAATTGGCATATATACAATGAGATCGTCCGCATATTTCACAAAAGTGTTTTCTGCAGAACAGAGCAGATCATACAGAAGTAAAAAGAGAAAACAAAGAAATGCAAGAACAGCTCCTTGTGTCACACCTTCATGAGACAATAGAAACGTTGAATCAAATAAGACAGACAAATGTTAAATTATCGATTTTACATATCATTAAAATTATCACTATAATCACTATAGTCATTCACTTACTTCAGCTGTATGTCCATCAAGTTTTGGTTCTCTCCATTTGGCTTGAAGAAATGCATCAGCATAATATAATTCTTTCAATGTATCAATTTCACCAATTTTTAAAAATACTACACGTACTTCAACAGCAACCTGATTCAACAGATATGAAAGGAAAAGAAAAGAAAAGAGAGAAAAGATTTTGTATACCAACTATTACCATCTGTTTACATTGTCTATCGTTTATCAGTATCATTATTACTGTTTATAAATGAATGAATATGTTGAGAGGTCATACAGAACAAGTTACTTTGTTTCCAGTTGTTGTAAATAGTAAACTTAAGAAAACAATTTAATTAAAATACTTTTACATTAACCATCAAAAACATGTTTTTACTAAGTTACTACTACTATGGGAAAGAACAAACCAGATCCAAGCAGAGGTAGAGATCAGGAAGAAGCTCTGGAAGTGGATAAGACATACATTGAGAAAAACATTCAACTGAGTCACAAGGCAAGCCTTCACTTCAAGGTCAAGGGAGCAGTGGGAGAACAAAGAACACATTACGCTGAGAAATAGGGACAGACAAGAGAAGAATGAACAACAGTTGAATAGAACTAGAAGGGAAGGTCAAGGACAGAGTGGGTTGGAGAATGATGGTCAACGGCATATGCTCAACTGGAAGTAACAGGTGCAAGTAAGGTTAGTAAGTAATAAGGCGATAAGAAATACGATTTACAAAATGAAATGTCGACATTATAAACAGGTAAGAAAAATTTGAAATTATATGATTCAAGAAAAAGTATAAGTAAAACTCCTACGAAAGGATACTAGAGATGAAAGATTAGCGTTATTTAATTCTGTTCTAGATCGTTTTTTGATAATACCTAAATGTTTCGAACCTGAATACTTCAATGTACCGAGTGATTTAGCCAAAATGTTTTGGACGACAAGTCTGTTCATACTCAAACTAAATATGTAGATAATGACGAGCCAAAAACCAACTTCAAACGATTAAAATCAAGGTCAAAAGATAAAAGATAACAGTCAAATGTGGAAACATTTAGTTAGTCTTATTCTGTCTGAAGACGTTTTTAGTGACAATATAAACTTAAAGGCTAAAGTACCGTGCTCAGAAGACGAAAATCCACCAAAACGTCAGTGAACAGTAATAAATCTCAATGGAATAACAGATGATTGCATAACTAACAGTTATTTATTCCATTGAGTCTAGTTATAAGCTGATAAACCAGTATTCACGTCCATCACTAAAGTTCACTTTAAAAGCAACAACAAAGAAATAAATTAATAATCCCAAAGTATTCTTATTCAGAGTTCAACATGATCCATCTAACTAGCTAATTAGTACCTAAATCTTAAATAGATATATATCATCTATGGTACATAGGGTACATAGTCTAAGCATTCCCCGTTAAAAATTATTTGTAACTCATAGGACAGCTTCATGACATGCGAACTGCTGAGGAGTACCACAATAGGACGAAATGGTGTTTCCAGGTTTTCAATGGTAGTCTAGTTTCGGTTGACTCATGATCTCAAACATTAAAATTACATTTTAATTATGTTTAATTCTGAGTGTAATATGCATGTGTTATTCAACTATAGGATTTAGTATGTATTGAAACAGATGAGTTGTTCATATACGTTCTCATTCATTCAAACTGTATAAAAAGAGTCTATAATATACTTATCTAAAAAATGGAATTGATATGTGGGAAACCTGAGCGGATCACTCCGATATTGTCAGATATTCACGAGTCTTCATATGAGCATCACCATCATGATACAGATAAATCCGGCTAACGAGTTCCGAACAGGAGGAAATATACTTCTTAGACTAAACACTTTTCTACCCAACTACATACATACTAATTTAACGATGAGTAGAGTTTGAATTATTATCAGTATAGGATTGTGGAGATTATTAAGTTTTTGATTGTAATCATGAACTGATTGATATTAGACCACCACTGAAAACCTGGAAGCACTGGATGAGAATTCTCGAAAATGGTAGAGCAATTTCGCAGATTGGTTGAGGTTAGAAATTAACACCGCTGGATGTCAACTCAGTAGTTTAGAGGTTAAGTATTGGAATCCCGCGAGCAGGGATTGTGGACGTGTACTGCTGAAGAGTCCGACAATAGGACGAAACGGTCGTTCAATGCTTCCAGGTTTTCAATAATGGTCTGACATCAATCAGTTCATGATTTGAATTATTAATTAGATTAAACGTAGATTCTGATTTCCCAATAACAGATCAAACAATGAAATTACTTGTTTCTTTCAAATCCCATACAAGTTTGTTTGTCATTAACGAATGAAGCATGTTTAAAGTGTTTTACACTTGCATAAAATTAACACATTTTTTTAAAGATCCACTTTACATTGTTCATTGAAATTCACATACAAAGCTTAGACTTCATCCATTTAATCAAATAAAAAGAGATTTATATAGAATGTAAACAACAACAACAGAAGAAGAAGAAGAGAAAAAGTAATCCTATCGTACATAGAATGTGTTTTAAGAGTTTTTCTTTCATCAGTGGGTAACTAGGAGATAATTAAAATGATCCTATACATGTCATGAATAAAATAAATTGGATCCGAATAGCATGTTACATACAAAGGAAATGATTTGAAATTACTAAACAGTTTTTAATTATCGCTCTGGGCAAACTGAACATTTGTGTGTGTTAAAAACGGTCGGTTGCTTTAAAGAAACAACGGAAATTTCATCAATCTTTTTTGGGACAATGAAAAAGATTTGTTGTGCGAGAAGATAATTTGTCCTTGGATTTAGTTTATGAAGTTAATGGGTGTTGGTCTGAGCCGTATAGGCAAATTCAGACAAACAGAGTGACGTTCATGAAATAAACACAGTGATGATCCGTAATGTCGGGATCCGTACGGAACCCAACTTTTCGACCTCAAAGTGTTCGTCTACTGAATCTTTCATTCGATTCAAGAACACTCTGATAAGAAAGTTTCCTGGTACTTGCAGTAGTGTAATGTCTCTGTAGTTTACACACTCTCTGAGACCTTCCTTTAGTATCTTGATGGGATATCCTTCTTTCTGGTTGATCGGCACTTATTCTTTTTCACAATTCTACCTGAATAAAATGTGGAGCATTTTTACAGTTATTTCTATTTCTGAATTCAGTGCTTCAGCTGGTATGGATATGCTGATTTCTTCGATTGTTAGTGAAGTGACGGCTATAGGAAGTCTGTGTGTGTTGCTTCGATATCCGGTGGGTTCACTGAGGCTGGTTTATACAAAAGCTCTTAAAAGCGTTCTAATATGCAGTTCTACTGCTCTTAAATTTCAGTGATTAGCTTGCCTCCATTGTCCTTGACTGGTCGCTCAGCCCTGTTAGTTTTTTCGCTGTATCGTATGGGCGTCTCATATTTCCCTTTGTTGCAGCTTTTCCCTCTGTCATTGCTAGGTCTTCCACGTATTTCTGCTTGTTAGCTTCAATGTACTTGTTTAATTGCTTGTTCGCTTCTGTGTATTTGGTCTATGGAATGACTTTCTCTGTTCTTGTCTGACTACTGTTAATTGCTGCCTTCTTTTTTTCCTTTCTTGAATCTTGTCCAAGGTTTTCACAGAGATCCATTCCTTATGATGATGCTTCTTATGACCCAGAACCTCCTGACACATTGAAGTTAGTGCTTCTTTAATCCCTTTAAAGTTGTGCTCCATAGTAGTTTCTTCTTCTAGTAGGTTTTGTATGGTTTAAAAGCTGTTGCTAAGACCTCTTGAATTCGTAGAGCTTATCATTATCTCGAAAGAAGGCTGTACTGAACTTTTGTAATGTTGTTTCTTTAATTGTTCAATACTTCTTTATCATCAATCTTACCTTGACTACAAGCAGGTGATAACCTAAAACTACGTCAGCTTTTCTCTTGGGTTTCATGTCTTCCATTGATATTCTGAATCTATTTATTTTGTAATAAGAACTAACATCATCTAAATTATACATTAAAAGGTTCGCATGAAAACTATTCAGATTAAAAAAACGAAATTTTTTGAAAATCTATCTATATCTGTTACTCGACACGATTGGTAAATTTAAGTTGGTCTTAAGGAGAATTCACTGTCATACCTTCAATAACAGCTTGAAGTGAATAATTATAAATGGTTTGACAGATCATCATCCGAAGGGGTTTTGTGGAGATTTTTAGAAATTTCAATAGTTGAAATCATGAGTCAAGTGAAGCTAGACCATCATGGAAAAATTGGATGGACGAAACGGCCATCCAGTGTTTCCAGGTTTACCATGGTGGTCTAGCTTCAATTGATTCATGAGATCATCATCTGTTGGAATGTGTCTTCGATCAATAATTTCTAGGTGTTTACTATATGAATTCTCTAGGGATTGAATAAAATTTCTGAAATAGCAAACATTAGAAGGAATCGTTTATTAAAGGATAATAAAGTTTGTTAAAGTAGATTTCAATCTATTTTAGTTTCTAATGAAAAAAATCAATATTTTGTTTAACTTTCTAGTGCAATAAATTAAATTGTGTACTAAGCTTTAATCACTGGTAAATGACTGTCTTTTAGTTTTGTTGTAGATTACAGGTTTCTACATGGACTTTATGAAATATGACTTAATAGATCCAAATTATTTCGTGTGTCATTTAGAGGTATCACCGAGGAATATTAAGCAAGCCACTATATGCCCTGGTACGGCCGAGAGTGGGGAGAGTCAGCTCTCTCACTCACCCTCTCTTTGGAAATGCCGTCACATGACCACATGCATACAATCACCACCAGGGAAGTCCTATCCACTACCTTTTCGCGGCATTATTGTTGTTTACGAAATTGAGAGGACAAAAATCAAATATCCGGTGCTTTAGCCACGTTGGTGGACACGGAGGGTCCACCTGGGAGAGTTGAGAAACCCTGATTCCAAACCAATGGTGCACATAGGCTCCAGTATCCTGAAAGAACAAAAGGCTTATGAACTTATTGTTGGTCACCGGCTACCATGGGACTGCATCTCCTGACGTTGCTCCACTGCCTTATGGATTACAGTTTTAAGTCGAAGGCTCTGGGTGCTGGTCTCTAAGAAAAACAACTTACTTCGGTTTGGACACCTGAGCAGTATCCCAGCTCTCACACAAATTG